GGTTTATTGTATTTAGCAGTTTGACCACATGGTTTATCTATGTTTGGAATACATCAGAATTTCTTTTCATCTCAAGGTTGAGTAATATTCCACTGTCTGCACACAACGTGTCTTTCTCCATGTATCTGCTACTAGACTCCTGAGTTCCTCTACCATCGACTATTGTGAACTATGTCACTATGAATGTGGATGTACACACATCTCTTACATTGAGCTATTTTTTTCTTGTTTTCTTGACAGGTCATATCAGGACATTTAGGGAGGACTTATTATGTCACCTCACATCTGTGATAAATATGTACAACTCAGAAACTTCAGATGTCAGACCAATTGGAATCTCATATTTCAGGAGATGATCATTGTTTTTTTTTTTTTTATCAGATCAGGATTCTAATAGTTTACAGGAAAACAATCACTCTCTGTATACCAGCAGAAAATAAGGAACATTGAACATATTTTGAGATAATATCAGCAGTAAAACCACCCAGATTTCGTCATTTATTAGGTACTTATTCTGCCTTGCTGACAGTGTTTTATAACTTTTATTAAGTTAATGTTCTGACATGTAAGGATTTTCAAATGATAAAACAACATTATGTCTCTGTAACTTACTTGTTTCTGTATAAAGTCGGCATGTGTATTGAAAATACATTTTAAATTTTGTTGACGGTTTTACATCTTAGTTCATTTAATTCTTACAATTTTCTTGTCCAACATTGGTATTATGGGTTTTTTGACTATATAAAAGAAGTYATAAAATGTTTCTATTTCTTTTTGTTAGTCTCCACGTATGGGGCAGTTTGTATGTGCTCATTTTTTGCTTGTATTTTTCCTTTATATTTTTTTATAAATATTTGACAGAATTTGCCAGGGAAACTTCAGGGAAAATTTTTGACAGAAAAGTTTTAAATTTTGTGTCATTTTTTTTTAAAAAACCTAACTATATTCAGAACAAGTATTCAATTTTTTCTTTTCGTGTATTTATTAAGCTTCAAATATTTTGTACAAGTCATCCAAATTGCTCAATTAATTATAACACTTGGCTCATCTCTCCCTTTTACTGTATTAAAGTCTGTAGGTTTGCAGTTATGTACCTTTTATCTGATAATGAATGTCTGTTATCTCATCTTGACAAAGATTTATCCATTCGTGTAAGTTTCAAAGATCCAACTTTTGACTTTGTTGGTTCTTTATATGATCATATCATTTTCTTTATTTTTTTCTTCTTTCTATCTCTTTTAATGTGCCCTTCTATTTTTTAAATTATTTGATGTAGATTCATATAGAACTTATTTTCACAATCATTTTTTCACATTTGCTTTAAAAGCTAAATGTTTTCTGGAAGCAGGGCTTTAGTCCAAGTCAGGATGTGTGAAGTGCTACACGTGGTCCACGTGGCCTTTGTTGTTTTCGATTTTTTAATTGTCCGTTTCTGTTTCTTTCTTTTCTTTTCCTTTCTTTCTCTTTTCTGTTTCTTATTCTTTTTTTTTTAAGTACCAGGGATTGAACCCAGGAGAACTTTAACTCTGATCCACATCCTCAGCTCTACCAGCTTTTTAAAAAAATTTGAGACAGGGTCTTCCTATTTGACTGAGGGACTCAATAACTTGCTAAGGCTGGCTATGAACTTGTGATCCTCCAGTTTGAGACTCCTGGGTGGCTGGGATCATGGGACTGTGCCACCACACCCAGCATTTTGTAATACATTAATTATTTAGAATATGTAATTCTGAATTTCCCGATAAAGGAGCCRTTTCTGTTTACTTTCTTAATCACTTATTCAGCTTTATTCCCCACTGTGCCAGAAACATATTTTGTATGTTTTCAGCCATTTGAAATTTGTACATATTGTTTTACAGACAAACTTCCTTTTCAGTATAAATGTTCCATGTTTACTTCAAAAGAATATACATTTTTCTGTTGTTAAAAAGTTGGATTGTAAATATATCAATTAGGACATTTTTATTAACTGCTATTTATAACAGATGAAGATATCAAGTGCTTTATTTTTTTTTCATTTTAACCTTTTAATGTAGACAGTTATAYTAATAGACTTTATTTTATTTTTCCTTGTTGAGAGCCACAGTGAAGTTGGAATGACACCTGGCATTTTGCCAGAGGGAATGGTTGAAAGGYGACCCTGTTCCAGGAATAGGGCGGCTCCTTTTCATTATTCTGACATAAACTTATATATTTATTGGTTATAGTGTGATATTTCAAAAAAATATATGCAATATACACTGAMAAAAATCAAGAAAACTAGCATACCTCTCCTTTCCATTTCATCATGTTGTGAGACTTCAAGTGCCTCTCTTTTAGTTCTTTATAAAATACAGACTGACCCCTTCAGTGGATGAATGAATTAAAAATGTGGCATATATACACAATGGAATTTTACTCATCAATAAAAGAGAATAAAATCATGGCATTTGCAGGTAAATGGATGGCATTGGAGAAGATAATGCTAAGTGAAGTTAGCCAGTTCCCAAAAACCAAATGCTGAATGTTTTCTCTGATATAAGAAGGCTGACTCATAGTGGGATAGGGAGGAAAAGCATGGGAGGAATAAATGAATTCTAGATAGGGAAGAGGGGTGGGAGGGGAAGGAAGGGGTCAGGGGATTAGCAAGGATGGTGGAATATGATGGACATCATTATCCAAAGTACATGTATGAAGACACGAATTGGTGTCAACATACTTTATATACAACCAGAGATATGGAAAATTGTGCTGTATATGTATAGTAGAAATTATAATGCATTTCACTGTCATTTATTTAAAAAAACAATTTAAAAATGAAAAATTATAGAATGGCTATAGTGAACAAAATTCACCCTACTTTGCTATAAAACACTAGAATTTTATTCTCATATCTAAGATTTTGTGCCCATTGTTCATCTTCTTGCCATTCTCCCTTTTTAAGGTGATAGACTAATTTGAAGTAAATAACCTCTTTACCCTTTATAAATGTCTTGGGCATTTCACTTTAAAGGTAGAACTGAATTATACAGTAATCAAATAAAAAACGTTAACTTTCAAGTATCCATACTGTTCTATTTTCGATAATGCACATGAGTCCAGCAGCCTACAAACCAGCCATACATGCCCCCATATTTGAATTCTCAAGACTKACATGGTTGGGCTCAATCAGGAACCTAACACAAGTGCATGATGACTGCAGTGATTCTTTTAAGGGCTCTCTGGGATTTATCACTACAACACACTACTTTTCTCCATCTACACTACGCATATAATGATTTTTATATTCAATGACTAAAGATTATTGTTACCTCAATCCTTGCACTATTAGTGAAGTAAACGGTAGGATGGAGTGGCCCATGAACCTATTTGCTCACTAGCAGAGGTACCACTGTTCTGGTAATTATAGGCAAGACAGGTGACAACTCAACAGGTTCAAGAAGCTATACCATGTGAAATATTTGAGTAACAGAATACTGAATTTCATCCTCTAAATTTTCATTCCTAGTCAATTCAACATGATGAGTATTTATTTAAAATTTAAGATTTTCTTTCTACTACTTCACTTCAGGATTTTAAAATTCTTCATATTTTTTAGTTTAAAATCATAGAGTGTATGCCTAGTTCCTGTGGTACACATGACCCTGTTCTAATACTGACTGAAAAAGTCCTAAGTTTCTCTTTTTTCCAAAATGTTACCAAAAAGTAAGAATTGAAACAAGAACGAAATAAGAAGTGAGAAAAGATGAATCCTAACCAATTTTATTGACTTTTAAAATATCACTGGACTTTTACTTATGGGAATGGTGGATTATGTTATTTAGGCTAAGCTATTCTCCAGAGTACAACTAGTYATAGGCTGAAAAATTCTATCAATGTGATGACATCTGAGAGCTATTAACACAGTGAGGAATTAGAGGGCTACAAGCCAGGAAAGGAAAGAAGTCTTGCGAGGTAGAGCCCAGGGTCTGGAGCCACATTTCCTTCACTTACAGACACCTACAAATTCTAAAGACACAAGGGGCTGAGCAGAACATTGCACAGGCTTGTGGGGCCAGGGAACAAAAATTAGGATTTGGTGGGTGCATAGAAAGAGAAGTCCTGGTAAACACCATGGGCTTTATTTCGCAATTCTAAAGACTACACCGTCAATCTCTCTACCCCAGGATAAAGTAAATCATAAATAGGAAAAAGAAAATGGAACATCCGTGGTTAACATCCAGATTTGAATATTGTATTACTGATCTGATTCAGATCAACAAGCATTGCTAGTCCTGAACTCTAACTGTGAAGTGGAGTAATAAAAAGGATAAATGAACCAAAGTCAATTAGAATAATAAAAATGATAGATGAATCAAAGTCAATTATTGTGTGCAACATTTATTCTGAAAGTTAAATTTATGTGTGCTGTAAATTCAAATATATAACAACCATAGAACACAGGAAGTGGTAAAAGGATAGTAAAATATTCCAAAGTAACTCAATTAGCAAAGTGGTAAATTATTAACTAAGATTAAGTTGTAATGTTTAGGATTATGGGAAGGTTTATAGAATAGTCAACAAAGGAAATGTAGAAGATCATCAAACCAASTTCATAATTGGGAAGGTGGTGTAAGTAAAAAGATTTGCTCTAAAAGAGGTAGAAAACAGGAAAGAGAAAGAGGCAGGRAGAATGAAGCAATATGAAGATAGCAGATTGAGCTATAAATACAAATCTAGTAGTAAATTATATTAAAATAAATATCCTGAATATTTAAATGACAAATACTATGAAAGTGAGTAGGAAATGACTTACTATTACCCATATTGTATTCACAAGAGAAGTATAAGAAATGTAACTAAAGAGAAGGCTTAGAGTTAAGAAGATGGAAAAGGACATAAATAAAAACACTAACCCTGAGGAACCCGGTCAGGCCCTACCAAGTCCTGAAAATATCACCTCACTGGCACGGAAACATTAACAGAAGAAACACATCATAAGGAAGATGTAGTATTTGTAAATATTTAGGCACATGATAGGAAATTCTCTAAATTACGAAGCCAATGGATATCATATTAAAAAAGAGATTAAAATGTATAATTTTGGTGGAGAATTTTATTCACATACCTGTGTGAATGATAGAAAAAGCAAATTGCTGAATATGTATTAGAGGGGCAAAACACAATTAATAGACATGACCTAACTGATGTATTTCAACTTTTTAACACCAGAACCAGAATTCTCTTCCAATAAACATGAACACTTCTCTGGAAAATGATGTTTATTCATAAAACAATATGAGCAAATTTCAGAGTGAAAACTCACAAAATATTATTGCTGATACAATAGCAATGATATTTCTGGCAAATCTCCACACTACCTGGAATTTAAGAAATA